CAGTTCCATCCACGTCGTTGCAAATGGCAAGATCTCATTCCTTTTGATGGCTGCATAATATTCCATTGTATATATATACCACATCTTCTTTATCCATAAGTGAATTTTATCTTAAAAAAAAAAAAAATCAGGGCCACCTGGGGGGCTCAGTTGGTTAAGCATCTGACTCTTGATTTCGGCTCAGGTCTGATGTCAGGGTCCTGGGCTCGAGCCCGCCTCGGGCTCCGCACTCGCGGGGGGTCTGTGCCTCTGCTGCCCTCCCACAGCCAGGCCCGCAGACAGCGCTCCTGACGCTGAGGATGAAACGTGCGGGGAGGCCCACTGAGACCCTCCCTTGGACGCGTACCATGCACCTCCTGGACAGAACAGAACAGCTCCAGGGCCTTGCGAACCAGCGGCTTCCGCGTCATAAACACATTCCGAACCGAACTTAGCGATGGTATTTTCACGCTTAATTAACACCTCCAGGCCCGACAACGGTATTTACAGGTGCCTGCTGACACGAAGTGACTGAGCACAAACTCTGGTGCAAAGACGTGGCCCAGAGGATCAGGGGCCACTTCAGAGGGCGTGAGTGATGTGTAGGAATGGACTGGACTCAGCCCCTGAAGCTGAAGCCCTCCCCATGCCGACGGCAAACACTCGCCCCCCTGTGTGTGCGGCTGCTTGTGGGCCACCGCTGCGCACGGACACGAGCCGCCACAACTCACAGGGCCGAGACTCACGATGCTCAGGCTTGCCCACACAGACCTGGCCTCGGGGGCAGCAAGCAGAGCGGTGGGACTCCTGGGCCTGTCTGCTGAGATCAAGCCAGGGCACGTCATCGGATGCGCGCGTCCAGGGAGCTAACCTGTCTCTTCCGCCACGGTCACTCTGCGGGGCCAGCACCCAGGAACAGTCACATGGGAACAGAGGCCAGTGCAGGCTCATGCCAGAGGACACAGAACCAAGGATGGGGGCTCACAGCACAAACTCACGTGTCCAGCCCGGCATGGCGTCCCCCCGCGTTTCCCGTGCAGCGGCCCCGCACCGGTGGGACACCCCCTGCTGCTGGGGGGCTAATGATGCCCTGCTGCAGACCACCCCACTGCTTGAGGAGCTCACACAGACCTCTGCCAAGGACCAGTGGATGAGGGAGGAAAGCAGGGGAGCCGTCAGGAGCCCGAGCCGCGCGGACACAAGCGAAGCAGGGCCTGGGACAGAGTGGCAGTGGCAGAGGACAAGGCCGGCGGGGTCAGCGGTCGTCTCCAGGACCAGAGAAGGGCTTGTGCGTGAACTCAAGCACCCAGCAAAGTCCTGAGCTGGCCTCTGATGAAGGCGCCACCAGCAGCAGCTTCTCTCCCCAAGCGCGCTGGCCAGGGACCCCGGAGCTCAGCACCCCCAGCAGCCAGGCAGACAGGACGGACGTCAGGAAACCGTCGGCGACCCCCCAAGCCCCTCACCTGTCAGCGTGGGGACCTCCTCAGCGGTCACTCTTCCGGCTGCTTTGTCGGAAGCCGGTGTCACGGGTGCGCTCTTTTCTTGGCCACAGGGAACACTAGGGAAAAGCCTCCTCAGCACTTTTTCCACAAACGCTACAACCAATTCACAAAGAAAAAAGAAGGAGGAATTATTCACGGCAGTTTAAATCACAAACGGATTTTATGTAAAATACACAGCCTGACACCACCACCTGAGAGAAAAGGGAATGTGTGTGAGGACCCCCAGCACTGTCCTGAGGACTCCCCAGCACCATCCCCTGGGACCCCCCAGCACTGTCCATCAGAGACCCCCCAGCACTGTCCCAAGGACCCCCAGCACCATCCCCTAGGACCCCCCAGCACTGTCCGTCAGAGACCCCCAGCACTGTCCCCCCAAGGACCCCCAGCACTGTCC